GTTGTGACTTTTCTTGCATGCGAAGTGACGTATAAAATCGTGTTCTTGTGTAAGTTATATATAAAATAAGTTGGCGACCAAAATTTTTCCGTTAGTCGCTAGCTGGCTCCCGAACGAAAAAGTCAATTTCGAGCCCAGAGTTGTAACTAATTGCTGGACTACTGGACGGTCTGTTTGCGGCGTCTTTTGGCAACGTTCGTGAGTTGGGAGCGTTCATTCATTGCCACACCGCAAACGGTCTATCTTGTAACCTCACTAATGCTTTGCCCTTACCTTTAAAACTCCTTCTAGACGATAAAAAGACGTAAGTTAATTCAACAACATTGTGCAATACTCTACCCTTTGACACTAACTAGCTCACTCAGCCCCCTTGTTGCATGTCGCTGCGAAATGCCCGGACTGCTTTCGTAGACTAATAATATTGGCATCAGCTGAAATTGATGGAGTAGCGAAGCAACTGATGTTAGGTTAGAAGAGAGGAGTTTGTCACAAAGTGGACGTACAATAGCTTTGCGCGATTGTTTTCTGCTGAGTTGGAGGGAAAAAGTTTCCGTTGGACTTAAAATCAGCAAAACCAAGCAGTAACATGATAGAAAGGTTTTAGTGTTTGCGCCGGCTTTCTATCAAAGTCTTAGCATAGGATAGCATAGCAAGAAAAACAGGCCCCCAAAATATGTCTTGTATAAAAGAATGCTGATCCTAATCAAGCTTGTGTGTGAGACTTCATGAGGGGGAATATGGCACTACAGTTAACGCGCGATGAAAAAGTAATGGTCGAAGCGTTAAAATTGTTCCAGTCTACAAAGAGCATTTTCAGTCGTTCTTGCGAGTAAACTGGGCAAATGCAAATTTACTTCGCGGTTTTAGTGTGCTGTCAGTGTTTAATTACAAAATTAAAGATTACGCTCCTGAAATGTTCTTCGCTTACTTTCTGAAAGGAAGCAAGTTACCTTTACCACAATTTTCTTCCAACATCTGCCATTTTTATGTGGTTTTACACAGATGTTTTTGATACGAAGGGAAGTCGATTCCCCTTGGTATTGTGTTTGGGAATCTTGTTTGTAGAGCGTGTTTCTCTCATGAGTCGGGTGAAATTCGTTATTCCTGAGATGAATTTTATTTTGGTCGTGTTTATAAACTGAATTGCTCAATTATTTTGACTGGTAGAATATGTGTTATTGGTACGTAGCAATGGTATTAATAATTAACCGCAAAACCACCGCTGTGATGGATTCGAATGAAGTCGGTCAACAATCAAAAAAGTTTCAATTTTCGTTCGTGTCAGTACCGAACCTTCCTACTTTTGTCCTGATTTTTTTCTTTCCGTTGTTGACAATGTTCATGCGAGTTTTGCTGTAGATCGATGCGAACACATTTTGTTTTACACTTCCCGCCGAAAACTTCATGCTTCTTCAAACTTGCCTACTCGATGAATTCCATCCCTTTGTATGTTACGCGAGGGACTTGTTTTTTGTTACAATATGCAATATTTTATTGTGTGTTATTCATTTTTCGTGTCGTTCTTGGTTTATGTTTTGTAAACCTGTATTTTAACAAAGCATTTGTGTTTTCACTTTTACAGGCTGCAAGTAAAGCCCGTGAACGGAACCCAGGTAAGAATCATCGATATAATTTTAGTCGGTTTTTATTTTCAAGTTGGGGTTTACTTGTTAATTCGGCTGACCTAAGAAAATTTAGAATCATTTGTTTCTTCTCGAGGAAAATGGAATAAAGTTTAGCGAATTTGATGGTCTCGGTATGGAGCGCAGCGGGTCCTTCTGAACGGGAAGCAAACCTTCCTGAATGCAATCGTTTGCATTAAATTTGTTTGCATACGTAGCGTCGCGAAGGCTTCCAAACTAATATAAAACAACATTACCATTAAGTTGCTTACCCCAAGACTTACCAAACATTTGCCTTTACTCACTGAGTTCCTACACTTATCAGTTAACTTTCTGTACTTTATTAGCGAATATTTGAGCTTAAATTGGTTTCTGATCTCGTTTGCTTTGTGGGATTAAACCACGTTGACTACTCTTTGTATGTAGTGCAAACAATACTCGCATGCATTGAATTATCACGAAATGCACATATTCTGTTAAATATTTTATTACTCTTGGTGTTTGAGGTTGATTATCTACGTAATTACATGTCTGACTAGCGGTATTTATCTAGGAAATACTGGGGCCAATTCGGAATGCTGGCGTCCAAGAGTCCACAGAGAAAGAAAAACATAGATAGATTGTGTCTTTCAACCGCCAATCACTTTGTAAATTATGTTGTTTTTTGCCGTCTTTTTGTCCTGGCCCTGTTTTCCCTACTCGGCAACTCTTTTGCTCAGTTCGAATCGTCCGTTGGTAACGTTTTATTTGCAGCAAACAGCCTATGAAAAGCGCGGACATGCGTCTGCGTTCGCCAACTATGAAGCAAGCGGCCATAAAACAAAATGGGCCATTTCCGAGTTGCTTTTTGCCTTTGTGTCAAAACGAGTCCATTCATATGAAAATGTGTTCCGCCTACAGGTTCATTTTCCTGTTAATCAAACTCATTTCGCTATGAAAGTTTTTGCATAAGGACTCGTTTTGAAACAGAGGCCTAAGGTAACTCGGGAATGGCCTATTAAGCTGTCCACACGACCGGGCGGAGTCCGGGAACAACATCCTTTTCCGCTCGAAATTTGACTGAGCCCGCGATTTTTGACTGGGTACTTGTTAAAGGCTGGTTGTCACTAGCGACGGAATCGTAGTTGGAGTCGTAATCAGAAGCGCAGAGTGATCGGAAGCAGAACACCCATTCCGCTTATGACTCCGTCGCTTACCAATCACAACGTTCGATTCCGGGCCTTGTGATTGGTTGGTTCTTCTGCTTCTGCTTCCGACTCCGACAATTTAGTTTTCACTGGAACTTAAGAGACGGAGTCGTAAACGGAATCAGAAGAAATGGAAACGTCTTGATTTTTCCGACTCCGATTCCGTCGAGTTTATGACTCCACGTAGGACTCCGATTTTAGGCTCGATTTCCGCCGCTTTCTCGAGTCCGGTCTACGTTCCTCCTCGGGGGAGGAGCGCGGGCTCCTTTCCCGGACAGCGGCTGGTAATCGAGCCTACTCCGATTTTCGATTTTCATTAGGTCGTAAGCTCTCTTACGACTCCGACTACGATTCCGACTACGACTCCGTCGCTAGTGAAAACCAGCCTTAGGTAACCTGAAGTAAGGCTGTTCTGATTGGACGATAGGAATCGAAGACCTTTCTGATACTTAAGCGTGGATTGCCAAAAAAATTCTTTCAAGTCCCCTCGATCTGTGCTAAACTTTGTTTATTGATGACACAATCTATCTCATCAGTCAGGGAAACAGTACCGCAACTTTCGTGTTGAAGTGGCGAAGCAACTGAATGCGTCTTGATAGCCCTTCGGAGAGTACTTTCGGAATACTTTCGCAATACTCGGGAATACTTTCGGATGACTCGGAGTACTTTGGAATACTTTCAGAGTACTCCGAGTACTCTGGAGTACTTTCGGAGTACTTTAGGATCACTCGGAGTACTCTGGAGTACGTGTGGAGTACGTTCGGAGTACTCCGAGTACTCTGGAGTACTTTTAGAGTACTACGAATTCTCTGGAGTACTCTGGAGTCCTACGGTGTATTCCGAGTACTCTGAGGTACTTTAAGAGTACCTTCGGAGTACTCGGAGTACTCTGGAGTACTTTCGGAGTACCTTCGGTGTACTCCGAGTACTCTGGAGTACTTTTGGAGTACCTTCGGAGTACTCGGAGCACTCTGGAGTACTCTGGAGTCCTTCGGTGTACTCCGAGTACTCTGGGGTACTTTCGGAGTACCTTCGGAGTACTCGGAGTACTCTGGAGTACTTACGGAGTACCTTCCGAGTACTCTGGATTCCTCGCGGAGGATAACAATCGAAAGCTTTACGAGTGCTTTAATGAAGATCTGCTCCCATATTTATTGTCTTTACCTATTTTTAAGCGCTGTGATTTCCTCTAATCTAACTTGTGGTGTTTAATTTTCGTTCGGTGTTGCACAGCGCCATGCTGTGTGATAGTATGACTGATACCTGATTGCCTTCTGGCTAAAGTTTATGGTTACATGTATACGTGTTGATATTTTAATATTCGAATTGTATTGTTTTGTTGAATGTTGACTCTTAAATGAAAAGCCATTTACGTCTTTGAAAATTTGTCATCAGGCGATCTTTTGTCAAGATGCTGTACAATTCAAATTCAGTGGGGTTGTGATTTTATCTAAAACGGGATAATTTTAAAAAATCCCGATAGAAAATCTTTTTTTGTTGTACAAGCAATGAAAAAGAATCGACAATTGTCAATAACACTTCTGCAGGAGTCGATAATATTCTGATAAGTTGAAGATTTTAATTTCCAATTTGGCTTTGTCGTAACGGAGCAATTTAACGTAAATAATAAACTAAATATTTGTTCACTTTGCATTTGAAATGATATGAAGTTGTTTGAAAGGGATTAGGAAGTTTATTTTAATTTAGATTGTCGGCTGCCTAGATGCAGTGCAGATCTTGTTATGAAAGCAGGGTTAACTCGAAAATAGCTTTGGTTGAAAAAACAAAATGGATCGTGTGCGAAAATCTGAATGGATATTCAGTTTGGAAAGAATCGGCAGTTTTTCCTGTTTTGACATATGCGCAAGTTACACTGATGCCAACTGCAAATTATTTTATTTCTTCCTAACGTATAAATTTAGACTTTTTAGCGTTTAAAATAGGTCGATTTCAGGTTGAGTTTCCAAACAATCTTGTTTATGTTTTGGATGCATTAAAAAAGAAATCTGGAAAAAACATCTACCCCGCTAAATAGTTTTTGTTTAATGAAAACGGTTCCCTACGGAGAAGACGATTACAGTGTGGATCCTGCAGGTAATTCTCGATAGAGTAAATATGGAAGGACGTTCATTTTGAAAAGAACTAAATGCGTTAAACGAATTCATTGAAAAGGCTTCACGTCTTGTTACGAGACAGCTGGCTGCATGTAGGCAATCTCAATTAGTTGTGTTTCCTATTAATCGTCACTTAAGAATTTCTATTTCGGATGCTAGGTACTCAGAAATGTATTAAACTTGGAGGAATTCTCGCGTATCTGACGCTGGCTTTGCGAAATTACTCGAGAATGTTTTTCCCTGTTCAATTCTTGTTTATCTTTCTGTCAGTGTATATTTTCGGGTATCTTGCGTATAAATATTTAATTACCTGTAGTCGGTGGGCGCTCTTGTCATATCTGTCAAATATTCCAAGCCCGTTTGGGAAGAGGAGGCCCGCTTTATTTTCTCTTGTGAGAAATAAGTTTGCCCGAGGCGCGCGCATGTTAGCCTTGCGGCTTCCTTCGCAATTTTTGCGCGGGAAAACGTGTTAACGATCAGATGTTATCCTGATGTAGCTTGGTCTTAAAAACTAGAAATGGTTTCTGATGAGTACGAGTTCAACATCCCGGAAGTGAGGCTATTCTTCCGATTCTGCGAGCACAAAGACAATGATTCCCTTCCGATCGGTAAGAAGCACAGAAAAACTTCTGCTTGTTTCAGCGGCAGCTCCATCTGAGATCTATCGTGTGCTGCTGCAATCGATTTGAATTAATTTCTGCTCCACTAGCAGCTTGATTAACTGTTTGACTGTGTGACTACGTAGTTGTTTAAAGGGAGAATCGCACTCGCCTGTTCTAGCAACAGATACTTAACATTTCCTTTTTTCTCTTTTGTTTCTTCCTCTTTGCAGCGTGGGAAGGCCCTCATCACCCGAGGAACCTTCTTCTTGGAGTTGTGTACACGGCCAAGGTAAGTCCTTATCAAACACATCTTATGTGCGGTTTGCGGGTTTGAATAATTCCTACGCAAATTCATATCCACGCACAAGCTTTGAGCTATACGTAGAGCAGACTTTCGAGAAACAGAACTGCGGTTGCGTGAAGTTGTTTTCCCCCATTTTGTCGAATGTAGGTTTATCGGTGAGTCACACAAGATTTGATTCAATTCGGTGTGGGAAAAGAATCTCGAGCGAAAGTCACGAATCGACTAAAAATGTTTGTTTAGAAGTATTTTATGGAAGGGTCAGTAAAATTGTTTAATAGTGTTATGCTGCTTTGTATTTCGTCTTGTCCTCGCATTTCAATTGTATTGATCATCTAGGAATTACCATAGAGTTTCAATACTTTATGTCTGTCATCCTTTTGTACTTTGCATGTTTTCCACTGATCGCGATCATTTTCCTTCAGAATTTGCATCCCAAAGACCTGCTATTGTTTCTGTTGACAGGTTATACTATAAACAAATGGCCAAAATGAAACACTCTGACCTAATAAATTGTGTGGTACTTCTAAGTTATTAGAAATGTTTGAGGGATATTGATTGTACTAAACACTGTAAAATCGACTTTTCCCACAAGAGATTGGCGTTTTTTCATTGCAATATTGTGTTGGGTTTGAATTTACTTTTGACGAAGAGATAACTGTTTGCAAGTCTCGCCGATTCGTAAGTCGAAAGTGTAATTCGTGGATTAACTTCTTTAAAAGTGAGAGTAACAAATGTGTTTGAGCCGTTTGAGACACTTTCTCAGACGTGATGCAGTATTTGTTCATATAAGTGATGTTTGCCTTAGCAGATGACAAAATGTGATAGCTAACCCAGACTGTGTTCTGATCTTAACGTTAATTTATGGATAAGAATTAGCACTTTTTCCTCCTTTTATTTTGCATTGCTATAAAACTGCGGAAGAATTGGACAATATTATTTCGACTTGATACCGTAATGCTTCGAGGCAGGAAGAATTGCTTGATTTGCCGACAATTTTTATTTTTTGAGAACATCTTTTCCTATGCTTAGTCCAAGTGCTGCAATGCATGACAATAGTTAAGATGTCGGTGAGAGAACTAGTGGCTGCTGAAACAAAGAGGTCTTTTGTTTCCTTGCTTGGAAATTTAAATAACAAAAGTAGTGTGTGTAAACGAATATCTTCCCTACTTTTCGCTGCACGATACTTCATTATTCACTCTCTAAACTGACTTGCCAGTGATAGTTTATACAACGCAAACATACTGCTAGGCTTTTGAAACTATTTTCAAATGTAATATACAAGTTCTTAGTTTCTCATTTTCCTTGGCTTTTTCCTTTCCAGTACCTGGGATCATCGCAAATTATGTCGCCCCAGTCCCCTAACAAAGCCGTACGGATGGAGCAGGCGCAAGAGGCCGTGGGACGGATAAAGGTGAGACTCCATGCCTCGTTTGTGTGTGAGCAATATTGAACAATGTCGCAGAGTCGAGGTTAGTGTGGACAAAAATACAAGAACAGTATGAAAATATCCACACCAACCTTGTTCTGGTACTATTTTTCTTATGCACAGAAGTGGAATGAAGGAAAGTTCTTATACGGAAAGAGCAGTAGAACTCTGTGCTATTAGAAATTGAAGCCACTTCTCTTGGACCGTTGGACTCGTGTATGACATGAAGCAAGTAGAGAAGTAACTGTGGGATTTATTGAAGAAACCGAAAGTAGATGGAACCAACCTTACATTTACGGACGGCTTTAATGAACGAGAACTTCCCCACATCCATTCATACCAACTATGATTGAATGCTGTGATGGACTACAATCTTGGTTAATATAAATGAAAACTTAAGACCACCCCTCCCCCCATTTAAATTATGAAAAACTGGCGTGTTTTGGTTTTAGCGCAAGTTCATGGTTCATTCGGGGGGAGGTGTTGGTTTTATTTCTTATTTTATTCCGATCAAGATCGTAGCATCCCATCCAAGGGGGGGAATATTATTGCTGTTTTTATTAATCCTGGTTGCCTCATGTCTTGGTTCAGTAGTGCGGCTTGCATGGACCTTGGGTGGTGGTAATCAGACTGTCGTTACTTTACATGACGCATTCTTCCAACTTGCCCCAAAATGCTCACATAGGGGAGGGCTGCCCGCTAAAGGAGATTGGCCCCAGGCTATACAAACCTTGTTAAGTAAATGCATGTCATTAATTGTTCCTCTTCATCAGTAGTTCGTTGGGTTTTCTTGTTTGACAGGTGCCTGAAGGTGAGGACCAACCTACCACCGATGTGGACCTGTTCATCTCTACCGAGAGACTAAAAATCGTCAACTCTGGAACCAAGGTAACGCGTTTTGTCAGACGGATACAATGGCTAATTCCCTCATGGTACCATGGAATTATGGGAGTTGTATTCATCAAAACAAATATCCAGTCCAAGATGATGAATACAACTACCATGAGTCCCTGCAGGCGTATCTCGTAGAGGGAACTGGTCATTCCAAAGTGACGGCTGATCTGTGTGTGGTGCCATTGATTGACTGTTACTTGACAACACTGCACAAATCAGCTCTGCAGAGATATGTGTTCAGTATAGAGTTTTTAAGGACGAGTCTTAGTCTTCTTTTGAGAGGTGGACGAATTAAAGGAGCTCAGTCACGGAATATTGAATTATTTTGGCCACGTGCAAAATTACCGTCAAATTGAAGGAAACCTGAAAATGATAGTTTACTACGATAGAAAATAATCAAAGAGATTATGCTGATTGATAAACGAACAAAGGTGGTGAAGGATGGAGAAGATTGACACGGACTACAAACGACTAACTTGAAAAATTTAGGCTAAAGTTTTCAAGATACGCAAACAGTGATGTAGCTTCTTTAAGCGCGCGAAAAGAGGCGTATAATTTTTGCCCAAGTATCTTTAAGTTCACTTCCCTATCGTGTTCAACAGGAAGTCACGTTAGATCACGCCATATTAGCCAGGTTAGCCTAATTAGCCATGTTAGTCTTGTAAGATCGCGCGCAAAGAGACGTATAATTATTGCCCAAGTACCTGAAAGTTCACTTCCTTGTCGTGTTCAACAGGAAGTCATGTTAGATCACGCCCTCCGTACCGTGTCGTTTATCGCCGATATCGGGGATGTTCTGGTGCTCATGGCTCGCCAGCCGCCCGAGGAACATCACAATCAGGAGGTGTTGAAACCTTCACAGATCCTGGCGAGTGTAGGAACAGCACAGACCGACCATAAAAACATCAAGATCACCTGCCATGTCTTCCAAGCTCCCGAGGTTTGTTTGAGAAATATAAGTCATATTGAACGGATTTTGAACAATCTTCCCCNCCCCCCACCCCATGTACCTAGATATCCTCAGTCTCCTACTAGTTTGTATTCTTATCAAATTCATGTTCAATTTCCGGCAATCATGGAAGTTACGGTAGTAACGAGTGTCACTATTTAAATCCACGAAAAGAATCTTGGGCTTTTAGTTTTTGGAAAGAGTTTCATAAATGAAAGAATTAGATAATGAAAAGGGCCACTGAGTGTCCCATTCAGTCATCATGATGAGGGAAGTTGATTGTTTTAATCATTATTTTTATACTCATTCAAGTCAGTGAATATTCTGTTCTCTCCTCCCCAAAGCTTGTTTTATGTCTTTTTGTAATTATAACCCTTTCAGTCCCATTTTTGAAGACGTTAATTCTTCTTACTGTTATTCTACAGTTCTTTTCATGTCAGCTCTGAGATTTTGGTTGGACATCAAGGCAATGTCACTGAGTTGATGATTTTCTTTATTCTCGTCACCTTTTTGCTTGAAAATGTGTCGGTATTATAACAAGAAATTACCTTTTGATCACTCCTGGAAATTCAAGGGAAAAGATGAAAATGCGGAGGGGTAAACTTACACCTTCTTGCCATGTCTTGGATGTTTTCTTCGGCGATTGCAGAGGAGGAGAGGGAGAGAATAAATCATGTTCTGTTGTCTCTGTTTTAACTTCGCATTAAACTATCCTCTTACTAATGGTTTAGCTTTGGGTCGTTGAAATAAAAAAGGCAGCGCAGATTATTGAGTTGTGCGCAAAATACAGAGCAATATCCGGACGAGATTTATTCCATCTTGCGACTGACATTTTTAAACGACTTCCAATTTGCCCTGTTGATGGCCCTGTTGATTTGTTCTAGGCCCAGGTGATAGCCAAGAGTATTGGACAGGCGTTCAATGTGGCTTATCAGGAGTTTTTGAGACAAAATGGTTTAACAGATGAAGTTGTAGAGGATGCCGAGTACAATGGTGTGTTAGAGGCACAAAAAATACTCGGTGAGGATTTATCGTTATTGGCTGATGAAAGTAACGCCAAAGAGGTAGGTTAAATTCATATATTGTTTCTTTTTTTATTATTAGCTCTTTTGTTATGTATTTCCCCTTACTTTCTTTACTTCGGTGTTGCTGTTTTTCATTGTGATAACTTAACGTGGTTGCCAGGACATCAGCGTTATTTAGGCTTGTCACGCAGTCGTCATTGGCAATGAAAGATTGTGTGACAATTTAACGGAAGCCACACAAAGTAGACCGTGGTGAGATTGAATTCGCAGCTTTTGAACATTGCCAAATTATTTCAAACTATATTTTTTAAAAGAAATCGTCCGAGACATTTTTCAGTGGAGATATCACAGCGCACATCTCTGTTAGGATAGCAAAAGCAATCAATAATCTGTAGTTACGACCAGCTGGTGAACGATCCAAGATCCACATTGAGCATCTACACTAAGGATCTTCGTTGCAGATGGTACATCCTGGAAAATATAACCCAAGGATTTTCAAGCAGCCTTTTGTAGTCCTGTCAAACTTCCCCAATTTTAGGGGCCCATTAACCGATTCATGCGCGCGCTCGCGCGCGTTGCTAAGGAGGTGAAATTTCACTTCCGGTCAATTACGTCAGCCTGAACATTGAAATTAAAAACAACTCAAAAACTTGCAAATTCGCATACATTTTAGATGTTTTTCTTTGTGTTTCGCAAATGCAAAGTAAAAAAAGTACAAGCAA